AATCGTCGTGAGCATGGTTTTACAGTTGTCAAGGTTACTTAGAGTGAAATAACTGATAAATTTCCATCTTTGCAGGTAATAAATCTCTGATGGTTTTAATCATAGCTTTGAAACAGATTTGTACCTCAGTTGCAAAACCGTTGTGTGTGTATATACATATAGAGAATCTCACCCGAGTGTCTTTTGATATCAAATATATCAACACGAGTTGATAAAAGTGGAAAAATTCCGAGGCTTGCCGAGGATTTTTGCCACTTTTATCAACGAGTGTTGATATATTTGATATCAAAAGACACGAGGGTGAGATTTTATTTATCATCTAAAATCATTCTTTTAACTATTTCAAATTGTAGACCGTAATTAGCAGTGTAGTGTCTTCAGTGTAAAAAGTACTGCAAACAGCTTCAGTAGCAGAGCCATTAGTGATGTCATTTGATTGTGACGTCATGGTAACCAGTGACGTCACAATGGTCTGCAAAGCATTGTGATGTAATTTCATTGCAGCGATATCTACAGTGTAGATATCGCTTGATCTCATCCAAGCGATATCTCCTGTGGGAGCCAGTTTTGGATGATAAATATATGTCTCCAATCAATTTCTATGCGACTATGCTTGTCGTAAGAGGTGACTAAAGGGATCGGGGGGTCAGGCTCGCTGACTTGGTTGATATATGTCATCGTATCCCGTAGATTGATGCACATGATGTCAATCACTGGATTGTCTGATCCACTCTATTTACAGACGTCGTCATACAGCTGAAATATTGACGAGTCTTACTAATGTGCTTCTATAGCAATATATATATATTTTTTCACCTTTAAGTACTGGACGCATATAGTAAAAGTTCTGTACATGCTAAAAAATTGTGTAAACGGGTGGCAAAGTCATCTGAGGCGCCGCAATTCGCTGTGCAGAGTGGCGTCCCTTTGGCATGACAGAAACCTATGATCGTGGGTTCGAATCCCGGTTTATAGGTTTGTCAGCACCATACTCGTGCTCGTGGGTTTCACCGAAGTGGTCAACGTCTGCGACCTGCACCACTTTAGGCTTTCCTCCCACATTAAGCTGACACGCCGCGATATAACTGGAATACTGTTAAAAGCGGCGTTAAACCCAACTCACTCACTGGTTCCTTCAATAAATAAAACCTTTACTGATTATATCATCAACCTCTGCAAAAATCATTCATTCATGATTGCAGCTATATGTGAAATCAACTCCGATCAGTAGTTTATTATAAGCCATAATCAAACCACAGGAAATAGGAACTATTTTAAAAACAAGACTCATGCAAGGTGCCATCTTAAAAGCCGACATATTCAAAGAAAAGAAAAGTGTGGTTCAGAATGTGCTATGAAAGTGTTTTACATTATTTCCTCGAATTACATAAGATCTCGTAGATTACTAAAATAAGGGTTTTCAAAATGTTGCATAACATTTGACCTGAATAGTATTTTAGACACAAACTTGGATGAATTCCATTTAAAGCTGTTCATTTTTATACTGGAGACGTTTTTCGACTTTCAGATTCGACTATTTTATGCTCTCGTCTCCAAGTATATGTTGGTTGTAAATAATACTTTCCATTGCATGTGTTGATACACTGACCATGTTCCACTTTGGAAAAGGATAAGATCAAATAACATGAGGGTTTTTTTCCTATTGATTGTCATTAAAATGTTTGAATCAGTCAGCGTTACCGATTTCCATGATTTATCATCCATATGCACCGTTGACTATTTGAATTTGTGTCAGAATTCTCACTCGGAGGAAATTCATACACTTCTTTTGTAAAAAACAGTACTACATACCTATCATGCAATTATCTCAATATTTTCACCAACTCAAGCAAACAGCTTTACTTTGACTTCGTACTTCGTGAACACTATATCAGAAGTAGGAGTGAGTGAGTATGGTTTTACGCCGCAATATTCCAGCTGCAGCAATAGACATTAACCAGAAATGGGCTTCACACATTGTACCCTTGTTGGGAATCGAACGCGGGTGAACGCTTTAACCACTAGGCTACCGCACCGCCCCCAGAAGTATTGAATATTTGTTGTTTAACGCGGCTCTCAGCAATATTCCAGGTCTGTAAATAATCGAGTCTGGACCAGACAGTCCAGTGATTGATATCATGAGCATCGATCCACGAAATTGGGAGCGAGCCTGACCACCCGATCCCGTTAGTCGCCTCTTACGACAAGCATAGTCACCTTTTACGGCAAGCATGAGCTGCTGAAGACCTATTCTACCCCGGATCTTCACAGGTCCCATCAGACGTAAGAGCGGTGGTATAACAATATATAAAGATTTTCCCCAAATTTAGTTGATGTAGGCACATCAGTGTTGAGCTAGGCTTTAAGACATCATACCATTTTGTCATTGGGTTGGCAGGCAACCTGGGTATGCAGTATGAAGCCTATTACCCCACACACTACTCACTCACTGTGGAATGACTTGCTGACAGACAGGGCAGAGAGTGAGTGAGTGAGTTGGGCTTAACGCCGCTTTTAACAGTATTCCAGTTATATCGCGGCGTGTCAGCTTCATGTGGGAGGAAAGCCCGAAGTGATGCAGGTCTCAGATGTTTACCACTTCGGTGAAACCCACGAGCACGGGTATGGTGCTGACAAACCTAGAAACATAATCGGGGCGAACCGGAATTCGAACCCACAATCATAGGTTTCTGGCGTGCCCAAGGGACGCAACTCTGCACAGCGAATCGCGGCGCCCTAGACGACTGGGTCACCCGTGCCCTCCGACAGGGCAGAGAACTGATAGTACTTTAAGTGGGCAAGGTGTCGTACTGTATTTACCCGTCGTTCATCGCGTGGATAAATCGGTCAACACCCCAGTCTGTGGGTAATGCTTCTTGCCACCTTTGAAGGCGTTGCTAAGGAACATGTTTAACATGTTGATGACGTGGGGTTGTTCATGAGAAGTGTTGATGTGTATGAATCTCCAGACCCGTGGAGATCCGGGTTAGAATTAGTTTTCAGCAACCTACGTCTGTCGTCAGAGGCGACTCACGACCTCGGGTGGTCAAGTACGATGACTCGGTTGATGCATGCATGGACCCTAAATATAGTATGAAGTGTCCATGATGCATGTCATCGTTTACAGACCGCCGTCATATAGCTGGAATATTGCGACGTAAACAAAACACAGGATGAGGGAGGGGGGAGGATGCAAGGTCCCCTATGGGGTCTTCATGACATCAGCCGATCTGAAGACCCGTGAAGATCCGGGGTAGAATATTTCTAAAGCAAACCATGCTTGCTGTCAAAGGCGACGATGCTTGTTGTAAGAGGCGACTAACGGGATCGGGTGGTCAGGCTTGCTGGCTTGGGTGATGCATGTCATCGTATCCCAATTGCGTGGATCGATGCTCATGATATCAATCACAGGATTGTCTGGTCCAGACTCGATTGTTTACATATAGTTGGAATATTGCTGAGTGCGTCGTTAAACAACAACAATCAAACAATCGATCTGTAGGGTTGTTCTGCATTCATCTTTGGTATGATGCATTTGTCAATATGATGTGGGTGGACAACAAAACACACTGAGATGACGAAGAGTGTCTAAAATGTCCTGTTTTAAGTCACCAATGTAAGTTCATGTAAGTAGAAATGAAGATTTCTTGTAAAGGTATTTAAGGAAATAACACCGGAGCTGCTAAACCATCAGCTATTTCACCAAGAAGGTATTGTATGTTCGCTTCAAATACTATTTACACATTTACCGCCTTTTGTGATTGTGTTTATGGCCATCGAAATAGGTGGGGATTTCGGTGTATATTTTGTCCACAGTAACTAAAACATGTTAAAAGATTGGGTGGTCAGCCTCTGTGACTATGTGGTATTGGTGGTGTGGATCAATGCTCAGTTCTGCCTGGTATACTAACGAAAACATGTATCTGTGCCCCATGTAAAGTTAAACAAAAATACATTTATTCTGCAACTTTCAATAAAATCTGAAGACATCTCCTCAACTTTAAGATCGTGATTCACATGTGTAATGTCAGGTCAACAAGACAACCATATTCGGTTGGTGCATCTATGGAATCTAACCAAGCTACCACATAAACAGCTCCGAAAATTCATGGATTGAGACAAATTAGCGGCAGAACCATACACAACCATTTGAGGGAGCTCAACATTCATCTCAGACGTCCAGCAACATGCCCAATTTGGCTTCCATATCACCTTCACACCAACTTTCATCTTTAGTTCAGAAGACGAGACTGAACAGCTCTGACTGTAGTGAAAGGGTCTACACTTGCATTACTCAAGTCGGCCATACTGCCATTGCTGTCGGTTCCTCCCGAACCCTCCCCCTTAGATCATGCCTGGGATGAGATGGGTCGACACCTATGACAGGACCAGAACCAGCCAATCATCTGGTGTCATGACTGCCTCACCTGTATCACTGCAAATGGTGGTCACACCCAATATTGGAATTGTTAATGGAACTGTTACATCACCCTTAATTATGGGCATGTCGCTCTGTCTCCTGGTACAGGTTGTCAATGAATTTATGACAAAACATTGATCAGACAAATGACCAAATATCACCAACCACAGTTATGCTTTTCTGCTAGCACACAATACAATGTCAGCTCCTGATTTGCTCAAGAAGACAGTTGTTTGATTGTTCGTTTGAATCCCAGGTTTGTCTGCACCAGACCTGTTTATGGTTGCCACACTGTAGGGCATGTCCCTGTACCCTCCTTGTCGACCTGTTGGGATGCTTAGTATATATCCAACTTGACATTTGTAAATACCAATTAGTGATAGATGGGCTTGTCGGTGATCAGATATCAGTTCGCTGTATCCGTTAGTTCGCTGTCGAGAGTTCGTTATATACGTAAATTTTATAAGATATTATATAGGAGATCAATCGGGGATTTCGTTGTATCCGTTTGTTCGCTATATCCGTGTTCATTATATCCGTGTTCTACTGTACTACTTGGTTGAAAATACCACTGCAAGAATTTTATTGGATACTTTATTGAGCAAAGTTCATGTACAGTGTATGGATGCACAGTCTTTCACTGAACTATACTACACTGAACTATCTCAATGGTGTAAGTCTCTGTTGTTCTAGTGTAAGCCAATGGGTAAAGACCAACACATAGTTATCACATAAATACCTCCAAGTATGTTCATCCTGAGCATCTGTACAGTCAACAGTGTTCTCTGTATCTACATCAAATATACAACAGCAGTATTATGACTAACAGTCTCTGTTTTAACAATTCATGTTCATCCATCAACGCTCATCAGGGCAGAAAGAGGGTCATCGAAAAATGGATTTGGACAAGACCCCACACTTTTTAATATAATGAAAAAAAAATTAAAGAAAGAAATATAATGGATAAAAATGTGGAGAGATTGTCCATATCCAAGGAAATCTTGGGCACTGATGGAGAAACATAGCCTTACACTGTACATAAACAAGGTAGTTCTATCTACATTGACAGACAACTGAATAGTACATTTTTAAAAATAATAATAAAACAGGTATAGACACTCTGTGTAGTATACATACATAATATCATGACGTCACAGGATCAGCACCACTTTAATATGTGTCCATCTTTTTCATTGGCTTAAATCACAGGTACATTCCGTGTACTCCATTCTGATTGGAGGAGCGCACAGACTGGATCTGTCATTCGAGCCAGATAATGAACGATAAGTCAGTCTGGTTGCAAAATGCATTTGGTTTGATGGACAATTGAGGACACTGGGGGGGGACATTCTTCCACACGGCTGATCACATTTTGGCTGTTCAAACAAAAATAACTTTCAGCCATAACACCAACCCTAAACTCAAATCTCACAGCAGTGAAAAGTCTCAGTCGGATGACATCGTACATGGCAACATTTGCCAATGGAAAGCATATTTGGAATTTTGACCAATCATATTGCACCAATGCTGCAGACGATAAGTTCTGCGGAGCATGATGCTTCACCATTATCATTCACTGCGATGCAGCTGTACTCCCCCTCATCTGCCTCGGTTACGTTGCGAATGATTAACGAACATTGTCCATTGTCACTAACATCTACGATATGCCGCCTATCTTCTTGAACCTCGTCTTCTTCATGCAACCAATGAAAATCAGGGTCAGGGCTGCCTGCAACCCGTACGTCGAAGCGGATTACATCACCAGTAAAAGCTTCACAGTCTAGCATTTCCTTGATAAAACTTGGTGAAGCTCCGCAATCGGTAGTATTATCAGAATCATTAAATCCATTTTGTTTTGATATTGCAACGTTCCCGTTGTGATCTGGGCAGGTTTTCTTCTTTTGCATCAAGTCGGGAGTGTCAGTAGATATGGTTGTCTCCCTTTCTCCTCCAGATACCTCCTGGGTAATCTCCCTTGGACTAGAATGGGTATCTTGGGTCGTTGGTTGATTGGGTTTTTCTATCATGGCATCGATGTCATCCATATCGTCACAAACCTTAGGAGGAGAGGAGAAATGGGTGTTATCAGACGCAGAGTTGTCAGTATCCCAGCATGCACTGTTTGAGCTATTGCTAGCGTTGCTGTCACAACGTTCCCGACCACTGCTCGTGCTACTGATGGTGCTTCCTGACATTAAACGTTGCAAAGATGCCATGCGACCAATAGCTCGGATTGCTGTTCCAGTTTTCTAAATAACAAAAAAGGCTCATGCAGGCTCAAGCGAACAACACAACGTGCACAGACATCAACATGTCATCTGGGAGAATGTAGAGATATGAAACTGACAAATAATAGCAATAGAAACAAGAATTTGTTGGAAATATGTAAGAAAAATGTTAGGAAACATGATTTATTTTATGTATGAATCCAAAATGTTGCCTAATTTCAAATTGCAATGAGAGTTAGTGGATTCCCAGATGATAGGTGTGTCATTTCAAAATTGCATTCATTATTTTTTAAAAAATGTTATCATTGTCTTTAAGACTTGAATTATGGTACACATGAATGAGTGAGTGAGTTTGATTTTACGCCGCTTTTAGCAATATTCAAGCAATATCACGGCGGGGGACACCAGAAATGGGCTTCACACATTGTACCCATATCGGGAATCGAACCCGGGTCTTCGGCGTGACGAGCGAACGCTTTAACCATTAGGCTACCCGACCGCCCCTACACATGAATGATGAATGCAACAACATAGGTGGTGAAGTGGTGAAAAATTAAAATAAACAAAAACAAAAGGAAGAATGGTGAGGTGGAAGTTTCCAAGAAAAAAATCGCAAGCAGGAAAAGTGTCTTGCAAGATGATGTTAATGTTTTCTCAACTGATGATCTAAGATAGAGGTAAGGGATCAGAAAACATTGAGGGTGTGGAAAGGTCATGGCAGATTGAAGAAGTATTCACAATATCACCAGGTTTGTAAATTCCATGTGAATACTTATAGGTGCAAATATGCAATTAAATTTGAGGGGAAATATTGAAATGTGAGAACATCTGTCATGCAAGTGCTGACAACAATTGGATTTACCATACAACAAAAAGCCAAAATGAGGACGAAACAGGTTGATCACAACAAAGGACAACAAAACATTTCTTTAAGTGACTTGATTTCACCTCTTCACTAAATATTCAAATACTGACCATTTTACCCAAACATGCTCATAAAAATCCATTGCTACAGAATTCAAATGCAAAATTGTACTAACAAATTGTATTGATGCCAGTAGCTCTTTAGCCCTTTAATGCAGTATATTTCTGAGTAATCATACATATATTATATTTGATGATTGCAACAGCACAGCACAGCATACCACCTGTGCACCTGTCCAGCCTATATCCCACGCCAAAGCTCACAATACATGATAGATTACACACCAACACCGGCACAACCCACACATTCCAAGATACCAGCTTGCCCTTAACAGATTTCGGAACCCCAACTAAATTTGAATAGTTTTAAAGCACCTTTCGTCTTTCCTTGGAAGAAAGAATTTGAAATGTAATTTAAGAACCATTTTTCATTTGCATTGTGGTTCCTGACACAATTTATTGTTTAAATTAACAGAGAAGTTGCATGAGAGAGTAAGCAAGACCGAGTAAGCCCACACAACTGTACCTCACAAGTCCTTCGGGGAATAAGTCAAGGTGATATTAGTTGACATACACGACTACATAGAATCATTACACAAATGAAACAAACTGCATGTTTTACACATTCTTTGAACTACTGAGATAAAAAGGTATTCTTTTAAAAAACTCTAAACAAACCACTCCCAAAGTACTGTTGCTATCTCTAAAAGCTTTCTACATATTTGAAATAATTTAAAGAGTATGCTTTTGTTTTGTTTGTTGTTTAACAATGTACTCAGCAATATTCCAGCTATATGATGGAGATCTGTAAACGATCGACTCCAGACCAGACAATCCAGTGATCAATATTGTGTGCAACGATCCACACATTTGGAGTACGAGGACACGCTATCAACCAAGTCGCAGAGCGTGACCACCCGATCTATTTCCTGGCTTCTTACGACCTCTGGAATCCCCATGGGGTTGATATATTCAAAGAATGTAAATTTCTACCTAAACCACTCCCAAATTTACAATTACAGTTTAAGTTTTACAGAAAATAATGACATTTAGAAGTTGATTGCCCAAGTGTACACACCTGCCATTTCCTTCTTAACATGAATCGCTTCAATCTCTCAGTGTTGAGACGCTTGCTTCTGATACGTCGTTCGTCCTGGGCAAGCCAAACATGTTGTTCTGCTTGCTTGATCAGGTAGCGTTTGCTGGAAAGGCAATTTAAAGAGACACAGTGATTTAACTGTCTAGAACATGAAACCATTCAAATAATGAAAATTTATGAATGTTGAATTTAATAATGTAAAAGGGAATTGTTTCATATTCTTTATAAATGCATATTTGGTTATGCTGCTCTCAGTAACATTCCTACTTTATCATGGCAGAATATATATAAAAGTCTGGGTAAGAGACACTACTGGTTGATAGCATGAGGATTTGTTTGTTTGTTTGTTGTTTAACGCTGCACTCAGCAATATTCCAGGTATATGATGGCAGGGTGAAAATATACGAGTGATTGATATCATGAGCATCGATCAACGCAATTGGGATCGATGACATGTATCAACCAAGTCAGTGAGCCTGACCACCCAATCCCATTAGTCGCCTCTCACGACAAGCATAGTCGCCTTTTATGGCAAGCATGGGTACCTGAAGACCTATTCTACCCCGGATCGTCATGGGGCGATAGCATGAGACGATCAACTCATTGGGGATACAATGTCACACAATCAGCCAGGTCACATATTGTAAAAATCGAATCATGCAAAAAGCATTGGGAATCGGGTCTATGCTGCCCACAAATTTAACACAATCAACATAGTTAAGTTAAAATACTGAACAAAAAAGGTTAAGAGATCATGAATATTTTGCAGGATAATTTTTTGTAGGGAAGACTGAATATACAATTTCATAAAAATATCCCAAAAATTTTCTAACATCCCTAACATTTTTGGCACAGACATAATTATTTGGATAAATTTCTTACTCTTTCGTTTTGATCATCAAACGTGTAATGAAGTCTTTGGCATTATCAGTAATGTCATCGAATGACTCGTCATCAAAGTCGAACTCGCCCCGGGTAACATTTGCTAACGTCTCTGCGTCGTTATCCCCCAGGAAGGGAGATAAGCCTGATAATCTGATGGAAAAAGGAACACATGGTATATGATGTACACAGGAAGTTATTGTGCAGACAGGAGCATGAATAACCTTGTGAAGAAACAGACAATAAGGCTTTTAACAAAGAAAATCAAGTGCTTGACATATACTTACAGTTTCTGTTATTATTTACTTGACACTCGATATTGAGTACAAAAGAGATACTACATGTATGTACAAATAGTGATTCAGTTCATACTAACGACTCAATGGCAAGCAACAGATACAACAAATAATTCCACACAATTGTTCAGAATTACAAAGCCCTTGTTAAACAATCCCTGGTACCAGCCAAACACCATGACAGTCAGGAGAAAGAAATTAAACAGGTTTTCACCCTGCCTGGACCCAACTTCTATCAACACTGATAGTGTCACTCTCGATCAGTTAACCATTGAAACATTCTTGGGTACAGAATGATATGTGGAGTGTGCCCAGATCATATCTAAGTGTACCTTAATTTTTTTAATCGTTTTCAGAATGTGATGTTTACAACATCAACCCACTTGATGGCATAAGGGAAGATAACTCCTCACACAGGGCCAATGTTGTTCCCAGTAGAAAACTGGTCGATCAACCGATAGATCTATATTAGAGGAATGAATGTTGGTATTCTTTTCAAATACACATAAAGTTCTTCTTCGGGAATACTGTTGGTTTGTTGTTTTACACTGCACTCTGCAATATTCCAGTTATATGACGGCAGTCTGTAAATAATCGAGTCTGGACCAGACAATCCAGTGGTTGATATCACGAGCATCAATCCATGCAATGGGGATCGATGACCTGTTTCAACCAAGTCAGCGAGCCAGACCACCGGATCCTGTTAGTCGCCTCTTACGACAAGCATAGTCGCCTTTTACTCGGGAATACTGGCAAGTGTGGGAGCGACCATGTTGTTCAATGACGTTAACAAACCGTGGAGACATTTACAAAATAGACTATCGCGAGACTTTAAAAATCTGGGTACACTGGGACTTATGGTCTGGGTAGAAAATGATGCAGGAATAAAAGTCTGTGTACAACTTATATATTGTTTTGTAGGCAGGGTACATTTCAATGGTGAACCGGTTGAGAGTGTTGCTATCAGCCTAACTTGAGCAAGATGTACAAAGGGACTCACAGTAGGTAACAAATGACACCAAGGCTCCACATGTCGGTGGCAAAGCTGATCTCGTCGTAGTTGATAACTTCCGGGGCGATGAACTCGGGCGTCCCGAAAAGAACTTTGATACTCTTGCCATCCTCATAACGTCTGGCAAGACCGAAATCAATGATCTTGATCTGGTTGGTTTTGTCTGAGATACACAGGATGTTCTCGGGTTTAAGGTCAAGGTGAAGGATGCCGTTATTGTGCATATAGCCTACGCCATCACACGTCTGACGCATGAAGTGGACGCAGTCGCCCTCTGTCAGCTCAAAATCGTCGCTGATCACACGTTCGAACAACTCGCCACCGCCAACGCTGAAGTGTAACATATAGTGTTTTGAGAACATTATAAATTAGTGAGTATTTGAGTGTGTATGGGTTTACGACGCTTTTAGCAAAATTCCAGCAATATAACTGTAGGGAACACTTGAAACCCTTACATCTTGTACCAATTGCAAACACAAATTCCATCAAGCAGGCTACGCATAAGTACACATTGCCATAAGTTTCAAAAAGAGTTTAACTTAACTTTAACTTAATATACATTTAGCAAACCCATGTGGGGAATCGAACCCAGGTCTGGTGTGACGAGTGAACACCTTAAGCACAAGACGACCCCATGTGCATAAAACTATATTTAAAAAAAAAGAAGAAGAAAAAACAAACACTAGATTCTGGACTTCCAGATCAAAGATTCAAACAATGTCTGCATGACATGACTTACAATTCCATGACAAGAGTCATACTTCGTTGAGCCTCGAAGGCATCCCAGATCATCATAAGTTTGGGATGTGCCAGATCATTCATGATTTCTATCTCATGACGAATGTTGGCCTTTTCTTTCTCTCGACATTTCAAAATCTTCGCTGCCCAGATTTTCCCACTTTCCTTGGCTTTACATTTGTACACATTGCCGAACTTGCCTCTAGAGATAGATAGAATATATAGACATGAGCATGGTATATTTGTTTGTTTGTTTGTTTTGTTTGTTGGTTTGTTGTTTAACGCCGCACTCAGCAATATTCCAGCTATATGACGGTGGTCTAAATAATCGAGTCTGGACCAGAAAATCCAGTGATTGACATCGTGAACATCGATCCACGCAATTGGGATCGATGACATGCATCAACCAAGACAGCGAGCCTGACCACCCGATCCTGTTAGTCGCCTCATACGACTAGCAGTCACCTTTTATGGCAAGCATGGGTTGCTGAAGACTTATTCTACCCTGGATCTTCACGGGTGTAGAGCATGGTATAATATCACAATACTGAACAACATTATATGAAGCATCTGAACTATACAATCCTATCTTTGCAAACATTACCAAGAAACACCACTTGTGAAGAGTGACTTTGGTGCAACTACCGTATATTGCTGTGTATAAGGCGAGTATTTCGTACCTAGAATTAGGGGGGTTTCAAGGGGGGTCGACCAATACACAATGTCGTAATGTTGTGCAAATATTGTTGATAAACTTCCCCACTTTCAGCTATGTATAATGACAAAAATAAATAAGGGAAAAAAGATTTATACAAAAACAATTTTAATGTGAGTGAGTTGAGTTTTTGACACTTTTAGCATTATTCCAGCTGTATGGCAGCAGGAGATACCAGCAATAGGCATGAGAGGTCCCTCCCTATTTATGCCCTATACGTAACATCTTGATAAAATAGGAGTAATTTTCAGTAATTATACTTATTTGACAGTAATGACCCCGCAGAGTTAGTTTGTTTGTTGTTTGTTTCAGAATTCTATCCCTGACATCAATGCAATTTTCAGTAGTCCCCAGTTCATGTCGCTGACATTTGGAATACTCTTCACATATTTTCACATACTCGCTCAACAGTTATTTGATAGAAGGATGTGATGTTAATCTACAAGCAAATTACAAACAACGTGATGAGTAAACTATTAAAAACATGCTGTTTAAAAAAAATCAATTTACCCATCGTTTCTGTAATAGTTGACTTTATCATCATAATACAATAACCTTTAGATTATAATCGTAAAGATTACAGCGAAACTGTAATGCTAGGGACCTCGGCATCACACGTTACACCCACGTGGGCAATCAACACCACATGACGATATGAATTTGAAAGCGGTATAAAATACTTACTTGCCAACTTCGTGCATGACCTCATACTCATCTTCAAACTTCCTCGATGGTTCCACTTTCACTTCTCTAGGCTCAAATGGAAGTTCATCTACAAAACATAAAAAAAGTAATTTAAAAAAGTGACATGTACTTGTCTCATTTATGTCAAAACAATCTTACAAGTTGTTGAAACAGTGCATGTGAATTGTTAACTTTAAAAAAACAATAGATGCTATATGATATAAGTAAAATGGTTGTGGTTATATTGGCAACTTAGTTTTTTTGTTAATCAGTTAAAACAAGCCATAAAAATACATGCACATTTATAACCAACAATTCATCAGTATTCTGCATGCCAATCACTTCAGCCAAACTATTCTCCATTTGGCCCAAAGTGCATTTCCTTCAAAGTTATAAAACATAAAAGGTAATACTTATCTATTGAAATGTTTGTGAAATATATATATGTATTTGTTATTTGATAATCCTCTATATATTGGAAGGTAAGAATAATATTTCCAAAATACATTGGCGAAACCACATTCCCTTAAAATTATTAAAATATTACAATTTAAGTTATAATATATAAGCAGTGTCTGAAATTTCCCTCTCTTGTTCAGTCATTTGAAAGCTATCTGTGTTTCCTGATAAACTGTTGACAAGATTGACAAAATCAGTTTAGAATTCCTATATGTACTGCTATAAATATTTCAGGCAATACATTTCCTATACAGTTCAATATAGAGTGCCTTCTCTTGTTGACCAGTATGACATTATATCGCAAAAAAGCTAATACATTGACCAAGTTTATTATACCTGTTTATTCACCTGAATTCGCTGAAGGGATACGATGTCGTTTTTTTAAAGCGCATATTAATACTCGATAAATCTGTTTTTACACTATGAATCATGAACAACTTCTATTCTAATCTTTTTTTAAACTCTGAAACGTGCAACGTAGATCGTGTGAGGTAGGCAGAGCATGTATACTGTTTTGTTAGTCATCTACCAACTACGACTCGTCCTCGGTTAAACTGCTGATCATCTATAACCCTCATCAATTATTTGGAACCTGAAGGTAACGTTGTATAACTGTATGGCCATTAGACTACAGTTTGTATATAGGTTATTTCAGACACTGCATGTTTGATATAAAAGAATTACATCTTGTTTAGATTCCTCTAATAAACATACACAGTATACCAAGACAAAAAAACATGTCCTATATGTGGTCCCTATGTTAACTATAGATACAGGATTAATATCCAAGGTTACCCTGTCAATAATATTGTGTAAGTCAGCTTATCTGCCCTTGCCTGAATGTCAACAAGTTACCTTTGAACTTGGTTTCCACAGGTGAGAATACTTCAGGTGCGCCTGTAACCATGGTAACGTCAAAGAAAGGTGATAAAAGCAAAGAGACTAATGCTTCAGACAGGTGTCTAGATGTTAAACTGGATTGACAACTTGAAAGTTTAAATAGTAATTTTGCAAAGGTGTTTTTATTCCCCAGGGTGATGTTTTTCAGCATGTGTCAAAAAGATGCCATAAATGCCATTTAAATAGTTATGGGTCGAAAAGAACAAATATTTCCCAGCAAAACATCTGTTGTCAATCCAAATACAACTAGCTAGAAGAAACACAAAAAACCCATGTGCAACTCAACCACTTCAAAAAGTACCTTGCACAAATTTTTAGAAGTTTTTCATTTCAGAAAATCAAATTTGATTTCTTCAGTATAACATCAAATGATATATTTTTTATAACTTTTATGAACTGGTTGAGTTTACAAGCAATATATTAGAATCCTCTGAAAAAATGATATAACGATTCCAGAGAATGTCCAAAACTACTTTCCTAGATATCACGGCACATCTACAAACAGATGATGTTAAATATATAATGGCAAGTTTAATGAAGATCTAACTGAAGGTCATATAAAGCTGCTATGTACTCTAATAGCATGGCAATATTAATACAATAAGATTGCTGTTAGCAACTCTCCTATTTCTAAGTTCTACTTCATGCAGCTTATAGCAGAATATATATGTGTCTTGCACTTTCTACTTCAAAATATTATATACATAACATGATGGTTAGTGGTGATTGAGCTGGCAAAAATGGGCATGCTGCTAGACCCAAGAAAACCAAGCTGTGGCATGGTGTAGTATTGTGATCATCTAATTTGAAATTAGTTTTTAGATGTACTGATATACATACAAATTATATCATGCATCAATCACAGCAAATGCTTCATGCTGAATATATGTTTGTGTACAAAGCCAAATGCCATATTGCTCAACAGTGCAAGGCACGTGATTGGATATATATGTCTGCAGCCTTGAATGTCATACAGAGTTATCTACCTTTGACCAGGTTGAGGTCTGGATTCACTGAGAGCTTTCTCACAAATATCCTCACAAACCTAGTATTCTATTCTGGCTTCTATTCATGCTGTTATATGAAAGATTCTCACACTCTCACACTATAGACTGTAAAATAAAATAATTGGTTCTTTGGCAAGAATTTGGATAATTGTGCTAATTTTCTTTATAATGTGACAGTATGCTATCCATACGTCATATATCAAAAAAATGATTGAGTTGAGAATTAAGCATGTTGTTAGCCGATTCCTGAATCTCACGTCATATCTGTATCATCTCCTAATAAACAACAGCTGCCCCATCCCACCTTATGCCATCCATTGAATTAAAAACCTACCTACCAATCCATATCATGTGTATGTGGTGCTGCCTGTGAACCAATAAAATTATTTTAAGCCTAAGCTGCATAACGTGTGCCGTGGAAGAGAACTCAGTGTTGTGGCATACACCTGGAGCACCTCCTACAGAGCCATCAGAGGATGCATCCTGCTACTTTTGGGGTACTCACCATCTGATTCATAATCCAGGGATATTTTCCTGTTGGATGTGAAGACCTTGTCAGACATCTCCCCCGAGCTGCTGTAGCCATGTTTGTTGGCAGCATACACACGGAAATAATAGGCTGTCTTCTCTTCTAGTTTGTCCACTGGATAGAAGGTGTTCTACAACCAGCACAGTTCATAATTCAAGTGTCTGCAGAACTTCTATAGCTTGTTTGGTCAAATCTTTGAGGATTACCATATATAGTGTCTTGGGTTTCTATATTGTTGAATTGTTAAGTTGTTTAGCGTTGTAATTAGCAATACATTACAATCAGTATTTGAAATTGCAACGTTAGAAATTGGCACTTGTCTAACAGTCCTTGCCAAACTGCCCAATAGTTAGAGAATCTTGGAGACTAGTGGAATTTGCAATTTTTTAGGGTTTCACTATATGTTATCATTATGAGGACTAGTGGACTAAAATTTTTATTTCCACCACTGTTACGGCAATCTCATTAAAATCAGACCTTAGTTCTCGCTCCCACTTAACAAAGATTTGAAGACATCCCATTACAGGTCACGTCAGATCAACCTGTGCGAACTTTGACTGACCAATGGAATGACCAATCAGAAGGGAGCTTTCTCTGCTTTACGGCCCTAATTTCAAATTGGTGACTAGGCTTCGAAACATATTTTCGATTACAAATTTGAAACCTAAACAAAAGAACATTCTGGAATGGCTATTAGATGGTCTAGATTGTATGGATTCAGTCGTTAAACCCGTAACTTTCTTTCGGAATACCCCGTGTTGATTTCGAGGTTGTATGATTAGAAATCACATTCCAACTGTCACTTTCATGATCTGGTAAGTGACGCTCTGATTGGTTGGATGAAAGGTCCTTTTGTTCTGTCCTCAGATCTTTGTTTAGCGGAAGCGAGAACTAAGATCTGATTTTAATGAGATTGCTGTTAAGGGATGTGAGTGAGTGAGTATGGTTTTACGCCACTTTTAGCAATATTCCAGAAATGGGCTTCACACATTGTACCCATGTCGGGAATCGACCCTGGGTCTTTGGCATGACGAGCGAACGCTTTAACCACTAGGCTACCCGACCGCCCCGCTGTTAAGGGGAAGTGTGTGTGTGTTGGGTTGGTTCTCAGGCAATGGCTTGTGAAATTATTGCGCAGGTAGGTGTCAAGCTAGTATGTAACCAAATTTTGTTTATGATAATTTCAGGAAATCATGTTGTTCTTAAGTATTGTAGCATTTAACTGCCGGGGTCATGTGTTGGGACACAGAATATTTAAAGATTTCTTCTTCTTTTTTTTGAAAATGGAAATAAAAACAAAACATGCTGCAGACTTTATGATGATGCGGGCGGTGCCTGAGAAGAAAGACTATTATTTCTTTTAGCCTAAATAATCACATTATGACCAAACACACCAGTGTCTGAAAGCAGAAGGAGTGAGTGAGTGAGTGAGTGAGCGAGTTGGGTTTAACGCCGCTTTTAACAGTAATCCAGTTATATCACGGCGTGTCAGCTTAATGTGGGAGGAAAGCCCGAAGTGATGCAGGTCTTTGCCGTTTACCACTTTGGTGAACCCACAAGCACGGGTATGGTGCTGACAAACCTAGAAACATAGAAGGAGTGATCAGTGTTCCAGCTATATCACATCGTGTCAGCTTGAGGAAAGCCCGAGAAGCAGGAGGAGCCTTTAGAAAGTCACCTCAAGACACATGGTGGTATTAAGGGTAATGGAATCATGGAACCAACCCCCATAAACCCCATATTCTGGCACAGCTAAGGGACACAACTCTACATTGTGAACTGTGTCCTCTTAGACGACCAGGCCAACTGTACCTGCAAGTAGATGAAAGAGTACGCACCTTGCAACTCGAGGTGAGAGTCGTCCAGTTAGAGTCTCCAACTTTCTTCAACTGGACTTTGTAATGGGTGATCTGAGATCCCCCGTCATAGGGGGAGCCACACCACCACAATACCACTGATGTTCGCAGGATGTCGTTGGCCTGGGGTTTGCCGGGTGGTTCGGGGATATCTGAAATGCCATCATCGATGAACGGTCAGATACACTGGCATATGGACTACATTCATATGGAATGTTCACAATAGATATTTAGGAATAGCTAAGTGGTACAATTCCTATACGAGGCAAGACGTTCATTTTGTTGTGGTATGACATTGTACATGGTACATAGCCCTTGAAGATACTTTACGATGGAAGGTCAGTTTTTTTACACTTATACAAACTCAAACTTTATTTTATTTGTGGCTATCAGTCTGTGCCTGTCGTTCATCTGAAGCCCAATTCTAGTACCGTATTCAGCATAATAAGTGCCCAGGTCATTCTCAAAATTAGAAATAGCGAGCGCTTATAAGAATATGATTTTGGTGGAAAGAAAACAGAATTGAAAGATCGTAAATTACGTGGTTTGTTGAACACAGAAAACGATCGCCCTCAGTATTTTACCCCTTTAGATATACAATGTATATGTCTCTTACAAATAATACCATGTGCATGCTTGCACGTATTGACTTACATATCGTATTTGTGATAACACAACTCCACATCAACAATGAGTTAAAATCATCATCGATACCCTAAATGGGAAGTACCGGTAATCAGATGGTTAAGATGAACATATCAACAAATATCGCCGTGGGCGCTTAATAGAGCAGGGCGCTTATTACGTCGAATACGGTAATCATTTTCTATCAAGCTTTTAGTAGCTCATATATAACCACTGAATCCAATGCCAGTAGTCTAGTAGACTCAAAAGTCTTTGTAACAGCAGGCTGGGTCAAGTCCAAGTCATGTCAGTGTCATGATCTGAAAATGGGATGTGGATGAGAGTGGACAACACCCACCTTCTATACTGACTGAGGCACAGAGAGAATCCTTGGCCGCATGGTTCTCAATCGCAACCATGTATCTGCCGGCGTCCTTGGGTGTCACCTTGTTGATGGTCAGGACACTGTGGTCGCCTGTGCTGTCAAGCTGGATTCTCTTGTCTGAAGGATAAAAAACAGTACTTATAAACTTAATGTTGCAGTACAATGTCATTGTGGAGGGATTGCCACAAGATGCAGGTTCAAATCTCGAAAAACACACAACTAGGGGTAAATAAAACACTGATGTACGGTAACACCAGAGCAAGCTTGAGTCAATGTTATAAATGAAATGCATATCATGAAACATTTTGGGGTTGATATCAATTACAAAATTTCAATCGCATTAGGTTTATTATTGCAGTGAAGATATTTAGAAAGTATTCAAATTATCGAACTGAAAGAATGTGGAAGTCAAACCCATTGCAATGCCTTATATTGGACCGACCATCTCACCTTTCAGAATTTCATCTCTCCCTTTGAACCACCTCACTTCCGGTTTGGGCTCCCCGTTAAATGTTGCCTCGATGATGACCTTCTGACCTCTGGTCACAGCCAATGAGGAGGGAGTGATAGTCAGAAGTCGAGCAGGTATAGTCACGGCACCTTCGATGTCAGAGCGTGAAGAGAGGGAACTGGAGGCTGGAAGATAACAGCAGTGAAAAGAGTGAAAGCTGCTGTTTAGTCACAAGTATCATGCTTGTTTGCTGGTTAATGCCATGCTCAGCAAAATTCCAGCTATATGACAACTGCTTGCAAGTAATTACAGTAAGTCTAGAGCAGACAAACCAGTGATAGATATTATGAGTAACAATCCACGTTATTAGCGTACGATCACTCACAATCAACCAACTTCCTGAGCCTGACCACCCAATCAAGTTGCCAACCTGTGAAGATCAGAGTAAGAATAGGTCTTCAGCAACCCATGCTTGCCGTAAAAGGTGACTATGCTTGTCGTGAGAGGCAGCTAATGGGATCGGGTGGTCAGGCTCACTGACTTGGATGATGCATGTCATCGATCCCATATGGGTGATCAATGCTCATGATGTCAATAATTGGATTGTCTGGTCCAGATTCAATTATTTACAGACCGCTGTCACATAGCTGGAATATTGCTGAGTGCGGCATTAAACAACAAACAAAAAAACATCAAGTTGCCTCTTACGACCAGCACTAGGCTTGGGACCTATTCCAACCTGGGATACTCATGGTGAGCCTAGGTTGTCTAATATACATAATCCGTCCAGGAAGCATTGATCCCTGCTAACTGTACATCATGTACATAGCTAATCTTGCAATGACAATCAATGTAACTATCCATACCCAACAGCCATTGTGACCACAGTGCTCACATTGTATCTCATCATGATCCCAGCGCACCCTCATACCCACACATCACAACCTCACCAAGGCCCCCATCTCTGATGCAGTCTTTATATGAGTCAAGAATTTAATGAATACATACCATCAACAAACAGCTTGCATGACGTAGACGCTGTTCCAAACTTGTTGGTGGCTGTGCAAATATATTCTCCCTCGTCTTCAGAGTATGCTTCTGCGATCATCAGTGTTGCGACATTTTCGGGTGTCATTGCCATCTTGAAAAACTTGGAACACTGGCAAAAAAACACCAACAAACTTTCTTAAATTGTCCATAATTGTTAAAAAATCGTCATAAAATATTTAGTAAATTGCTTGCTTCAGGATAAGATACCAGTTCATCAAACTATGGGGGATTTTTAATTCTGATTATTCTACATACATGATCATAATGAGAACTCCAAGGAACCAACTAGACTTTGATTTGAGATTAACAATCCATCAAATTTTCAACATATGCCATTATTTTAACCATTATGAAAATTATCATTGATTACTAATCTTGAATGAAGATGTAACACAAAAAAGGTCTGTTGTATTTTGTTTGTTTGTTACTTAACGCCTCACTCAGCAATATTTCGGCTATACGAGGGCGGTCTGAAAATAATCAAATCGAGACAAGACAGTCCAGTGATTGATATCATGAGCATCAATCCACACGATTAGGATATGATGACATGCATCAGACAAGTCAGCCAGCCTGACCACAAGATTCTGTTTGTCGTCTCTTACAACAAACAGTCGCCTAGGTCTGTTGTAGATTCATACAGGATAAGGTCCCTGACAGGAAGTTAATTTTATCAAAAGACTGCAAAGCTTTGGGGTTACGACATACCCGAATGGCTTTCCCATTGACGCTCCAGTCAACAGATCCTCCTGATATCTCACACTCCAGCACCACCTGGTGGCCATAACGAACGCGTTGGTCTGCCAACTGACGTCGGACTCGTGGAGGTTGTTGAACGATGTCTGAATGTCGTGTCGTCAACACAGCCAGAGGTTCACTCTCTTGTTTTGACCTCCATGTTTGTTCGGGGGAATTTTCCAATTTGTTGCTTTTGTCTAATTTGGATTGCTTTGTTTTCTCTGGCGATGCAAAGTCAGAAGAGGCCTCAAATTTCTCCTTGCGGGATTTCACAGATTTTTCTGTCGTGTTGTTTTTAGTTGGTAAATCTTCTTGCTTCACATTTGATTTACCATTTTGCAAGTTATGACTTGGTGATGTCCTCTCTTTAAAGGAATACTTGTCTAAAACATTTCCTCGGGGTTTTGGGGTCTGAGTAGGTGGGGGTGTTTTCTTCTTAGCAGACGTCTGTTCACCACTTGAAAGTTTTTCAAATTTGTTCAGCTTTCCTAACACTGATTTGTCTGGTGTTTTGGAGGTAGGCGGTGTTGTTTGAACTTTGGTTTTCACTTCATCTTGAAGTTTATTCTTTTCAAATTTTTCTAATCTTCCCTGTAAGGATCCCTGTTTGGTCTGACTTTTGACAAATGGCCCTGAGGGTGAATCTTCATGATTTGACATCTGCTCAAACTTATTAAGCTTACTTTTCAGAGCCTTGTCTTCCTGTGGGGGAGATTTCTTTAAACTAACATTTGAACTTTTTTCAAATTTATCTATCTCTATTTTGGGAGAGTCATATAGTTTTGATTTGGAGACACTTCTTACAGATATTGTTTCGGTTTTCACAGTGGTTGACTTGTTCAAGTCTCTGTTTTGTTTGTAAGCCTCTCTTGACTTCAGTGTCACTGTCTCCCTCGCAGGTTCAGACGTTTTTGATTTTGATGCTAATACTGGATCCGGTTTGCTTGTTTTATGTTTGAGGACATTACGAAAGTCAACTTGCTGCACCCCAGAGCGTGAACGCTTGTCATCATAGCCACCAGGTGGGGTTGATCGATCACCCTTGCGTAACACATGACGGAATTGTAGATCGTTCTCTTTGTCTGATTTTTCAGAATCAGTGCTGTTTTGTTTTCCAAGTTTTCCAAGAGTTGGTCTGAAAAGGACAACGAAAGACATCTACACATCCAGATTCAGATTTTTGGGTATGTTTTTGAAACAACAACATATCTATTGCTTTCAGAAACTGCAAAATTGCATATTATTTCTTGCTACATAAATTGATGGCATACATAAATTTTCCTACAGCTTATGTTTGACTGTAGAGGTTTTCATTATTCTGATCCGAACAGAGTTTATTAAAAATTATGCGGTTTTGAAGGTCTGATATTATTTTCTTCTTGACAATGTTAACTCTATTACCTTGTTTTAAGGACAGATCTAAAATCTGTTTTCTCTTTGACTACAAGTGCCGCAGTGTTCGACACTTCTCCATTCGAGTTGTGTAGACGGCAGGTGAAGTTTCCTGCGTCTGTCTTATTCGTGTTTAGTATCTCCAGGATATGTTCGTCCCCTTGCATTGATATCTGGAATACACATAGAAATCACTCAGCAGGTTCCCTTCCTCCAATTCATGTACATGTACAAGAGTACTTACACACCAGTGGATCAGGGTTGGTGGGGTAGCCTAGAGGTTAAATTGTTTGCTTATCACGCAAAAGACCCGGGTTCGATTCCCCACATGGGTACAACATGTCAAGCCCATTTCTGATGTCCCCGCTGTGATATTGCTGGAATATTGCTAAAAGCGGTGTAAAACCAAACTCACTGCAGTGGATCATAATTTGACCCTAATAATGATCCATGTTCACTTTCCCTTGTTAGTAGTTTTGAAAATGACAGTGAGTGATCAAAATTTGAATTAAATTAAAGTTGCATTTGCTTTTTAACCATATAACAATAAAATAGATATCAATTTGTAATCAACAAATTTAATTCTTACCTTGAAATGGCTATTTTCCTTGATGGCTACGCCATCTTTCTCCCATGAAACGTGCGGTACTGGGTGACCTCTCACCCTACACGTGTACATTGTACTTGAGCCCTCTTCTGTTGTTAAAAGACGGGGACTCGAGACAAATTCGGGAGGGGCGGGGAGCTCTACGTCTGTTTAAAACAATGATTCAAACTCAAACAAAACATGGGGTTAATAAGGGTGGAAAGAGTGAGTGAGTGAAAGAGGCAGGGAAGAAAGGAAAGGTGGATAGTTTAAATGTTAGGGAAGATGGATAGACAAACAAAAATGAGAAAATGGAGGTAGAAATAGGAATGATGGGATATACTAAAGGGAGATAATCATGCTCAGGAACTTTCTGATTCCGATGAGCTGGGAAGTTCATTTTCTGAAGAGAGAAAGGAGAAAAAGCTTGAGAATATTGAACAAATTTAGCAATGTGTAATGTTACTTAAGTCATATTCTAAAATGATTTATCAATGAAAAGAAGTTTGTATATCAAAGAAGTTAAGATATGGAAATTATGTATTTGTATACGATTCATTTGAAACTTTATGAATTATACATATCGAATCAATCTCATTAAAATCAGATCTTAGTTCTCGCTTCCGCTAAACAAAGATCTGAGGACATCCAATCAGGGGTCACATCTGAACGACCTTTCAACCGACGAATCAGAGCGTCGCTTACCAGATCATGAAAGTGACAGTCAAAATGTGATTTCTAATCATGCAACCATGAAAACTTTAACACAGGATATTCCGAACGATAGTTACGGGCTTGACGACAATCCATACAATCTTGACCATCAATTAGCCATTCCAGAATGTTCTTTTGTTCAGGTTTCAAATTTTTTATCGAGAACTTGTCAAAATATGTTTCGAAGCCTAGTCGCCAATTTGAAATTAATGCCGTAAAGCCAAGAAAGCCTTCTGATTGGCTAATGTCGACTTCTTGTCAGCCATTCCATTGGTCGGTCAAAGTTCGAGCAAGGTCGGTCTGACGTGACCCGTAATGGGATGTCCTCAAATCTTTGTTTTGCAGTAACGAGAACTAAGATCTGATTTTAATGAGATTGATATCGAATAGGTAAGTATAAGAAAAGAATTTAGAGTTGATTGTTTATTTTATAAATACCTTAAATACAAATAGTTTCGCTGAATAGAATCTCCAAACTTCAAAATGCTTTTATAACATTCATGCACACATACACAAACACATTCCATATCTACGCTTGTTGAAATACAACTTCATTAATCCCTTGTGACCTCTATAGATATTACGGTTTTCATGTCATTCCTACCTCGGACATTAAGTCTACAAAACGTGTCTGTATCACCGTAATCACTGTATGCCTCGCACACATACTCCCCAACATCCTGCTGACACACTTGGGGGATTACGAGTTTATGAATATTGCCGTCCCTTATCAGCTGGCACTCCGTGTCTTGCGGAGTTACCTCCCTGTTATTATGTATCCAGAACACATCGATTGGCTCACTGCCTGAAAACACAACATGCATAAATCGTGCAGCAAGCATGCATAGGATAGAAAATCAAGCACTAGCAGAATGGGTAACATATGTCATGTTACCATGGTTACACAGACAGGATATACCACTGAGATGGGATTTCATCACAAATGGAGTATCTGTCTTATCACACATGGGGAAATATATTTCATATCACACTTGGGATATTTATTTCACATCACACAAAATCCACACACATAGTTCAAGATGCTGTTTCGGCAGATTACTAGAGGCAGCAGTATTAAAGGATGAAGTTGAGAGTTGACACCTACAGCGGGAGATCTGAGCAGGGTATTTCAGCAGCTTCAGCAACTATAGACCTACCACAGCATAATCTAAGGAAGCTATGCAACATTTATTTCTTTTTCTTTTTACAGATTGAGCAAACAAAAAATGAAACCAAAATGAGGTAGATTTATCACTATTTTAATGATTCTATTTATTTCTTATAAGAAATGTAAATAATAAACTACACAATAAAAAAACCTTGAATTTTCTAATAAAAACAGTCATATAGAGATAGTTTATTCTCTGGCTATGGCCAACACTTTAACAAATGCATCTATTGACAGATGTGAATACAGATTTTGTATAACCTGCTCCAACCAAGCTAACTGACACACACAAGGTTGTGCAAATTTGTATAAAATTATTTTTCTTTTGACATACGAAACTTCATTACTAGTCAACTATTTGCAAACCATCTAGTATGACCTTAAATGACACCATTTAAGGAAGTGGCCTATTGGTTGGCTATAGCAGAATCTGTTCTAAAACAGGGAAGTTATGGAGACTGAGTTTTGAAACAAAGAAATTAGACAGATAGGATTAATCCAAGATGCAATGAGACACATTGAAGGGTTTGGTCTCTACATGCTCCAATGGCTTTGTAAACATTATTTCAACCTCACTATTTCATAAATCACATCTTGGTACACGCAAGTACTGGCTCCTCTGGACCATGCATATAGAGTCATATGTCTAACTAACTCCTGCGTACAGGAACGGTCACGCAAACGTTGGTCACACACTGAGGTCAAGTTGCAGATACTTGCACTTCTATAGTGGTAGAATATTCATGCATAATTACCTTTGACCTCCACAACCAGCTCAACTTTGTCTCCATTGTCGACCTCCATGTCGCGCAGTTCTCGCACAAACACGGGAGGTTCACGTTTTTCGTTGGAAACTGAAACAAGGACGAAGAGTGGTTTCATATTCATCACTTAAATCTGATCCCAAGCACAGTGTCTAAATTATGTGCAAACATTGATTGTTTTCTGCCACACGTAGCAATACTGTAGGGAGGGCTGTATGAAACAAACTTCAATCACTGTATTAAATCTGGAGCAGACAGACAAATATAAAAGCCATCAAGCAACAATTTCACAAAATTAGTAAATAGAAGCAAAAAAGCTCTATATAATCACAAAAAGTCCATTGTACTATTCCCACTACATCATTAGCGTGTGTTTATGAGTCAGAATCGAAGAGTGATGACACCAGGTGTTCGGTAAAAGGTGAGTGTATCAAGCCCCACTGGTGGCACCTGACACAAACACATGCAAAGGCAAGTCAAGTGTTCACATGAAAAAACACTTGAACAAGTCAAAATTGGGATATGCATCAGATATTATTTTTGTTACCAATGCATCAAATTTGGAAATCCTCTACCATAATTTTTTTTTTGAAAGCTTTACTAATGCTTTGAATGTTGTAACTCTGTATCAAAATAAGTATGTTGTAAACAACAACATTTTGACCCCCTGATCCTCATGTTCCATGTAGTTGGCTCATCTGGGGGATTTGTAGCCCATTTTGTCTCAAATCCCCTCCTTGGTACCCATACGAGTTTAAAAGATTTTGTTGTATGTTGTTTTTTGGGTTTTTTTCCACATCAACAGTATTTCAATCATAATGTGAATCACATCAACAGTAATGCCATAATGTGACTAGAGCATTTCTTACCATGTTGGGGATGGTGAGTGAGTGAGTGAGTTAATATTTAACGACACATCGGCAGTATTTCAGCCATATCATGACGAGAAGTACATTAATAATACATATATTTAGACTGAATAAAAACCTGTCAACGATGGACAGTAAAATAACCAGATTTATCACAGATTATATTTAAAACTAGTAGATAGCAATAAAATTATAACATCATACGAAACAATACAAGATAAAAATGAGCTAGAGATTGCCAGCCACAATGCTAGGGTCCATGGGGACTTACAGTACTTTAGCTACCTGCATGGACCCCAGCCGGATTTACATCATCCCTTCAGCTGTTGGCGATTATGACAAATTTAGCCAAAGTTAAACAAACATATATACTACTATTAAAAACGTGGCCGAAATAAATATACTTTGAAAGACGTGGTCTTACATACCCTCTCAGAGGGACGATAATTTTACACTACTTCAACCTGTTGGGGATGGAACCATAGTCATCTCTGTTACAAGCCAAGAGTATGTTGATATATAATATACATTCACATACAGATAATACAGAGCCAATTAGTTCCACATTTCATATCTCACCTTCAACTTTGAGGTAACAGTTTGTCTTAGCCTCCTCGCCTGTGGGTCCGGATGCTACACATTCATATTTGCCAACATCTTCCTCGATAACGCGGGAGATGGTAAGGGAGGCAACTCTGCCGTCAAACCTGGCCCGGAACTCGCGACCTGGCTTTATCTCTTCTCCATCCTTGAACCATGTGATGGAACAATCCGTGGCATCTGAAAGTGAAGGTCTCATTGATTTAATATTTCCCTACATGTGCTCGCACTTGATATTTCAAAGGAGCGCATAAAATAGGATCCGAAAGTTGTATTTCCCTGTTCCCTGGCAATAATTCTGAACTGAGTGATTGAGTATGGTTTACATTGCTTTTAGCAATATTCCAGCAAAATCATAGCAGGGGACAAAAGAAATGGGCTTCACACATTGTACCCATGTCGGGAATCGAACCCGAGTCTTCGGCATGATGAGCCAACGCTTTAACAACTAGGCTACCCCATTGCCAAGATTCTGAATTGGCTTGCACTGCAATATGCATTCTCCATGAATCTGATGATAATGCAATCTGCTTTATGGTAATATACAGCTATAGGACAACTAATCTACTTGTATTTTTACTCACCTTCAAAGCTGCAGTCAAGGACAAATCTTTTCTCGCCTTCTACTGTGGTGGAATCAGTCAGAGGTGCGACAACAGATGGACCAACAGGCTTCTTGGACGATGATTTCGGCTTCTCTATAAACCCAAGAAGCATGGTAATGAAAATGCTGAACTTAGAAAAAGTGGAATTATATTATTAAATAATATCAGTGAGTGAGTGAGTTCAATTTAAGATCACGTCGGCAATATTTCAGCCATAATGTGACTTGAACAAGTTATACAATATTAATAAAAACTGTTGATGAAGAACAGTATAATAACTAGCAATAGATCACAGATTGACTTAAAACTAGTTGTAGAACATTAAAAATATCTGATTATTGGGGAAGGACACGATATAAAAATTGGGCTATAGATCACCAGCAACAAGGTTAAAATCACCATACTGGGGACCAAGGGGACTTAAGGTACCTCTGCTACCTGCATGGTTTCCCAGCAGGATTTACACTTCCCCAAGTTACTGGCGATTGTTGCAAGTTTAGCCAGAGATTAAAAATGAACAAATATGCTGCAGTTAAAATAAAGGTAGATATAAATATACTTTGAAAGAGGTGGTCTTACATACTAAATAATATCAAAGTCCAATATTAAGTAAATTAATTGTAAGTAAAAGAAAACATCAAATCACATTTGTATAATGATCCCCACGTGAGACAGAATGTGACAACTTACCAAACACACTGAGTTCCGCTGAGGCTTCTAGTGTGCCGAGTTTGTTGGTGAGGGAGCATGTGTACATGCCCTTGTCTTGGACAGTGACGTCTTGGATCTCCAGGATGTTGTAGCCATCCTCTTCGTATGCCTAGACACAAATACAGAGAATGATTACTGCATATGATTATGGAAACTACATATGTCACAAAGAACGCATGTCATCCAAACGCATGCGACAAAATATGATGCACAACAATACTGCATGGTGATCATATATCCTAAATTTAATCTTATATATCAAATCAAAATACATAGACATAGAATCTTAGAGGTTACCACAGAGAGATGGTCCTCCCTCTCCTAGCATCAACAGTCATTGTGACCAACCAATCCCCATAGTACCAGCAGTCATTGTGACCAACTAATCCCCACATCACCAGCAGTCATTGTGACCAACTAATCCCCACATCACCAGCAGTCATTGTGACCAACTAATCCCCACATCACCAGCAGTCATTGTGACCAACTAATCCCCACATCACCAGCAGTCATTGTAACCAAGCAAAACCCACAGTATCCGCAGTCATTGTGACCAACTAATCCCCACATCACCAGCAGTCATTGTGACCAACTAATCCCCACATCACCAGCAGTCATTGTGACCAAGCAAAACCCACAGTATCTGCAGTCATTGTGACCAACTAATCCCAACATCACCAGCAGTTATTGTGACCAAGCAAAACCCACAGTATCCGCAGTCATTGTGACCAACTAATACCCACATCACCAGCAGTCAATGTGACCAAGCAAAACCCACAGTATCTGCAGTCATTGTGACCAACTAATTCCATATCTGAATTATGACCTCACGTTGGCGACCTGTGAAGTTTCGGGATAGAATAGGTCTTCAGCAACCCATGCTTGCCGTAAAAGATGACTAAGCTTGTCGTAAGAGGCGACTAACGGGATCGGGTGGTCAGACTCGCTGACTTGGTTGATGCATGTCATCATATCCCAATTGCGTGGATTGATGCTCATGGTGTCAATCACTGGATTGTCCGGTCCAGACTCGATTATTTACAGACCGCCTTCATATAGCTGGAATATTGCTGAGTGTGGCGTTAAAGATCAAACAAACAAACATAACGTTGGCACCCTGCTTTTTGTGATACTCAAACTACAGATAACTCAATTCTATCCCCAGGTTTTCAGTTTTTGAATTTGAGATAAACCACTTACTTTGATTTTGGAATCATTTTTCAGTATTTTTCCAAATCTGGTCCAGGAAACGTCCGGCCTTGGTAGCCCTTCACAGCTTATCTTGAATTTGGCTGGTTGATTTTCATCCACAAATTGTCTCCTGGGTTTGACACCAAATTCTGGTGCAAATTCCACTTCCCCGGGCTGCACCTTCTGTCTTCCTCCACTCTCAGCCGAGGCAACTCTGAAAATCAATACCTTCACAATCTAGAATTCCAAAAGGGCAACCATTCATTTCAAATGTTATTTCAACAGTGACAAGTCTCAGAAGATAAAAACATTCTAAATCAAAATGTCAAAACATTCTTAAAAGTTAATCGTTAAATCCCCCCAAGATCTGGTCTTCATCTTATTGATTTGTTGTTTGCGAACATCTCGCTGAACAAGCCCTCCCACCTCCCCAGTCTTGTCAATCAGGCTTCAGGTAGGATCTCCACCACCTCAGCCTCAGGTTACCGACCCTCAAGAGGAAGTATGGAAAGTTTACCTGTTGTTGAGATCAATGCGGAACTCCAGCGCCCCTGTATTGGGGTCACGATTTCGGTTACCTCCTGAAACACAAAACACAGAATGTGAATTTACAGCCCAATTTACACAGATGAATAGAATAGATGCACTGCATAATGATATACCCGGTACCCCAGCATGGAGACTGAAATACAACACCAGTGGAAACAGCTACACTGACAGATCTAAGTATTTAGATTTATGAAATGTACTGAAATGTATTTCAGGGCCTGTTCTTCAAAGTGATCTTAGCGCGAACATGAATGTTTCTCCCTTATAGAATGATGGCAGTTGTAGCACTAAGATCACTTTCAGGACTGGGCTACCAGTATATCCTTGGCAGTTCACCACATCCAGAACTGACATAGTTATTATTCCTCAAAGAAATGTACTTAATATGCACGGCTAACTGTAAAAATGCATACACAATTTTGGCTACCTGTTGAAATGAATACACGTTTCACTACGTGCTAAATGAATACACGTATCTTTGAATACCTGAAAATGAAGAGACACTTATAGCTTTCTGTTAAATGAATACACAAATTTGGCTATGTGATAAAATGAATACACAATTCTGTCTATCTGTTACAATGAATACATGTTTGTATACGTGCTAAATGAATATACATATGTTTGAATACCTGTTAAATGAATACACCTTTTGCTACATGTTAAATGAATATACGTTTGGCTACCTGTTAGAATGAGTAACGGCATCATCAGGGTACTCAGGCTGTGGCTAAAGTAAGACTCCTCGGGTTGTCCAGAGCAATCAGCTTCCCCTCCCACCACAACTACGTATCGACATCCTTATTCTCCGTGGTTCTCATCAACACAATGATGGACTGCACATTGCAAAGTTGGCACGCAATGTAAACGTCATCTCTACCCACATCTTATAAAGACCCTTCTCCATCCCCCGACCTCATCCAACTACAGCCTTGTCTGATGACAGTCATGAAAACATGACACACGTACCATATGAATTTATACGAAATGAAAGATTTTTCAATCAGTCTGCTACTTTAAGATTTCTATGTCAGCCTTCAGGAAACAGATGCTTTAGGACATATGACATCATACAAATTAAAACATTATTTCATCAATTAGTCTGCAACATGAAGATGTAACGTTTTGTTTGTTGGAAAAATCAATAAATGAGGGATCTCGTAAACAGAAAACAATATCTTAATTTGCTGGGAGTATCTGTTACCTTTCTTAAATAGAATTCTTAATATAGATGACTTCTAAAAATACCCAGCATCCTGTGTGGGAGTGCTATTTCTGTCAGTGATTAACATCATCAATATCAGATTTAGATGTATGTATTTCAACATTGAGGTGTTCATTAAGGCCGAGATTCAAATTAACCATTAACCACTGAAATATTGCAAAATCTTAATATCAAATATGTCACAATGCTTCTACACTGTTTAGGAATGTAACCAAATACTATGTAATTGAAGAAAATATTTCTTTTTATCACCACAGCATATATGATTTCCGTAAACACTTTTCTGAATATAAGATTTCACTGATATATAAAGTTGACGATTTGAACATGTCCTGTCTTATGGATGAATCTGCTCTTAATCTTGTAATAGCTTTAGATTTATCTTATTGTTAAACTATTATTTAAACATTTTTGTGGAGGAACTTAACCCTCAAATTTCACTTGGAAACATTTCTTGTTCATTTTGCCTCATCTGTCTTAGCAGTATAACTGATCCAAGAAAATTTGTAAAAAACTAAGATAAAAAATAACAGTGGCTTTCATTAACTCACCTAAATGAAAAATGCTGACAAAAAAATTCAATGAATTGTATTGTCATCATACAGTGTACCCATGAGGAGTCGAGCTCCTTGACTCGACAGAATAACGGTTCAACCACTGGACTACCTCAAGCCACTTAAACAACCGATCTGACTCGTGGCTCGTAGACTTATTCCTAGATCATACCTGCTGGTGAGGTCAGGATAACACCCTCACACCTGAGATGGGGACAACAACTGCTTTAATGAGACACATCACGTAAGAGGATCTGAGACACAAGGTGACTTGGGTGATTATCGACAGGTAACTCAAGGTGTATACATGTTACAGCTGCATAATCTTTACAGCAATCTCAGCGAAAGTAATTTCATTTGTATTGAATACATGAAAGGCAATCCTTGCATGCAATAGTATAGTTATTTCAGGGGAATATACATATCAATGCTCAGTCAATATTTTGTCAGAAGTTTCTGTGATTAACATTACCCCCAGATAAAAAAATATGAAAAAAAGCAGTTCTGTTATAGATACAGACATCACGCGGCTTTGTTTTTTTCTCCTTGATTATGGCTGCCATTGTTATTGCAGACATAACTCTATGTATGTAACTCTATAACTCAGACAATAACACTTGCTTTTTCCTTGTCAACATTTTTATGAAGGTGGGGTTGGTTCAAATTTGAGTCCTGACCAGAAAATCCAGTGATTGATATCAATCTACGCAATTAGGATCGATGACATGCATCAACCAAGTCAGCGAGCCTGACCACCCGATCCCGTTAGTAACCTTTAACGACAAGCATAGTCGCCCTTAACGGCAAGCATGGGTTGCTGAAGACATATTCTACTCCGGATCTTCACAGGTCGGGGGATAAGAATAATACAAATGTTCTTGATATAATTGGCTAAAAAACAAATTAGTCTACCAGTCAAGATGTTTAGACAAAAATGTCATTACACCACCAAACTGTTTTGATATATTCTTGCCCTCAGTATATCCTCACCATGTATCTAGGCTAAGATCCCTACAGTAAGTGATAAAGCTCACTATCTTAAAACTAGGAGTCTTATTGTGTTGGGAGAGCCCCTTTAAAGATTATGTCAGGCCTACTCAGCCTGCTAAGACTAACTACTTAAAGTGGCAGTTTCACCAACACTATTCAGTGTCTCTTGTGTGTGGTCAGTGGGTTTATTGTCGGTGTGTTGTACTAAGCTTGGTCTTACAGCCCTCCTAATCCCCACTTAATCCACAAGACTGGACATGGACACAATGTGCCCATGTTGTGTCTGGAAGGATTGGTGTGGGGATCAAATGATAAATTTGCGATAACTAGTTTCAAGATATTGGGACTGCCTTGACAGAACAGTTGGTTGGTTGGTTTGTTGTTTAACGCCGCACTCAGCAATATTCCAGCTATATGACGGCAGTCTGTAAATAATCGAGTCTGGACCAGAAAATCCAGTGATTAATATCATGAGCATCGATCCACGCAAATGGGATCGATGACATGCATCAACCAAGTCAGCTAGCCTGACCATCCGATCCCGTAAGTCGCCTTTTACGACAAGCATAGTCGCCTTTTACAGCAAGCATAGTCGCCTTTTACGGCAAGCATGGGTTGCTGAAGACCTATTCTGAACAGAGTCACAGGCAGAGAGTTTGGTTGTAAATTCCCATCATGTAACAGATTTAGCAATTATCTTTTATCTGTTAAATTGATCAACCCTACCAACACCCTGTCAAGACTAGATATTTACATATAATCAGATTTATAATAGTTGTTTATTTTGGCTAACCCAAGCCATTGAAGGACACCAGTTGATGTGGATTGTCCTTATGGGTGAATGCATGGTAATCCCAGGGCAGGTTTAGAGACAACTGCTCCTTAGAATCTGCTAAACAGTGGATCGTATTTGCTTTTAATTATAAGTGTTAATGCTAAACAAATATTTTTTCACATCAAATATACCTCAGCATGTGAAAGTGTCACAAAGGTTCTATCATAGTTTTGTTGGGAAAATATTTACCACTATAATCAAATATTGACTGTTATTTTATTGAAATTCTGACATTGACATAAGTGGATGAATTTGTCACAAATTAAAAAGCGAAATAATTTCAGCTTGAATAAAAAAAACCTCAAAGATTATTTCACAATAAAAATGTTATCAACAAGTAAAGCTTCAAGTCTTCAATGCATTAACAATTATTAGCAATACAGATCCAAATACAACTGAAGAGTATTCTCTCACCTGGCAGTGAAGGGGTTAACACATACACAACACTGTAACACATTTTCTGTTGAAGATTCCTAAGATTCCCCCAGGAAAGGATGTTTATATGCCAGGTCTGGGGCAAACTGACCACTTGGTGACGATGTCTATTACACAACCACCAAATAATCGCATTTACTTTTCCTCAACAAATTTATTTTCTAAAGTTACACATCTTTGTTCAAGGTGCCTATGTGTGCTATGATTCAGACCAGCTCCAATGGCACGCGCTGAATTAAACATCAAAATATTCAACAATGACTGGAAACAATGCAACATGAGTAAACAATTAAACGGCACAAAGAATAAAAGGCAAAAAATGAGGTTATTCACAAATATTTCTCTGTTTGTGATCTTTAACTCAATTATTCTGTTTTCATCCTTTAGGCGGTCTACAGGTCGACCTTTTCCATAACATGATGATTCATCCAAATCTAGAAAACAGCAATAAAACTGATTCAGAATAATAAATAAAGGCCAAGGATAAACAGTTATATCACACAGGATGTAGATCAAGGTGACAATGTTATACAAAACATCACTATATGTCAATGCAGAGAAAAAATGAAGCATTTCATCATTTTGATTTTAAACATGTTTCATAAGAGTTTCAAAAGCTTCACAGAAATTTGATTAAAATGATGAGTGGATGAAAAAACAAAATAGGCAAACAATTTGTTACAATATATATATAGACTCCTTGGGTTTGACTGAGCTGCAACTCTGCTTGAGTGAGTGAGTCAGTGAGTGAGTATGGTTTTACGCCGCATTTAGCAATATTCCAGCAATACCACGGCGGGGGACACCAGATATGGGCTTCACACATTGTACCCATGTCGGGAATCGAACCCAGGTCTTCGGCGTGACGAGCAAATGCTTTAACAACTAGGCTACCCGACGGCCCCTTAAACTCTGCTTGAGGTGTAATATAAGGGGATATATCCTACTTTTGCCTCTGGCACAATAGCCATACACAATGTACTTCAATGTTCT